AGAATTATAGATGCGTACTTATAAGTTTTCAATATAGAATTTTATTTTATTATTCTTTTTTATTTATTTTAAGTAGATAAATATTAAAATTTTCTTGCCGTCAAAGAATCACATATTTGCCAATGATAATTAGGATTTTTCCAAACATATTGGCAAATTTAAACCTATAACTAAATCACATGAGATCATTGCAACTTAATATTGGGCTTTAAATCATATGGTATAAAATATAATAGACGTTTTTTTAACTTCAAACCAAGATCAATATTATTAGATAAATATCATTAAAAATAAATTAAGTCAATTTATTTAAGAAGTAAAAATTAATAAACCACAATAACTTTTAATCATAACCCAACTTACATTTCAATTTCTGATGATTTTACAGACATTAGGTACAATACATGGGTTATTTATATATGTGTATATCGAGACCTAAAATATTAGGGCTTCATCGTCAATGTATTGTTATATTCTTATTAATATCCTAATTTTTTAAATATATTAATACTCTAAAACTATTGAAATGTAATAATATTTGAAGTTATCAATATTACAATACCAGATAGAATTTAAATACAATATTATAGTTATTAAAAAATTTCTAAAAACCACCTAAAAATTACGGATCTTTTTATTACATAAAAAATTACTTTCCTTACTAACATAATTTAACTTATGAAACATTGTCATCGAAAATTATTATTGCTTACTATACTAAAAACAATCAATATACTTTCGATATCAAACTGCAAATTTAAAATTTTCATCAAAGATACTAATCAATAATAATAACCATCAAGATATACTAACTTAATAATAACTCATAAACATTACATGTAAAATCTAATTGTCCGGGTTTGCTTGATTTTGGTAACGAATGTCGAGTACATAAGAACAAATTTATCATAGAACAAAGATTTACTCTCTAATATCAATGCTAACAAATTTTAGTGTAACCAAATCGTTTAAGAAATGACATGTTCCTGTCATATTATTCTCTTTATCTCCTAATTTATCAGCTCATTTGATTAATGACCATTCTAAAACAGTTAAAAAACTCTCTCATAATCCCGCGTTTCTTTTTTCTCCCTAATCACACACCACCACGAAACCATATTGTTAACAAATCATAATCAAAACTCAAAAGCTCCAAATCATACTCCTCGTTGGTATAGTATTATTACGAAAGTTTTTGCTTCGAATCCCTTATCTCCATCTACTTTAAAACCTTTATCTTCTTTGTAACCCAAACAAAATACATAATCACAAAACCATTTTTAAAGAACGGCAAGCAGAATTGTTATGTTATAAAATAAAAATTAAAACAAAAAAAGAAAATATGGGCGGCTTGAATATGAGAATTATAGATGCGTACTTATAGGTTTTCAATATAGAATTTTATTTTATTATTCTTTTTTATTTATTTTAAGTAGATAAATATTAAAATTTTCTTGCCGTCAAAGAATCACATATTTGCCAATGATAATTAGGATTTTTCCAAACATATTGGCAAATTTAAACCTATAACTAAATCACATGAGATCATTGCAACTTAATATTGGGCTTTAAATCATATGGTATAAAATATAATAGAAGTTTTTTTAACTTCAAACCAAGATCAATATTATTAGATAAATATCATTAAAAATAAATTAAGTCAATTTATTTAAGAAGTAAAAATTAATAAACCACAATAATTTTTAATCATAGCCCAACTTACATTTCAATTTCTGATGATTTTACAGACATTAGGTACAATACATGGGTTATTTATATATGTGTATATCGAGACCTAAAATATTAGGGCTTCATCGTCAATGTATTGTTATATTCTTATCAATATCCTAATTTTTTAAATATATTAATACTCTAAAACTATTGAAATGTAATAATATTTGAAGTTATCAATATTACAATACCAGATAGAATTTGGATACAATATTATAGTTATTAAAAAATTTCTAAAAACCACCTAAAAATTATGGATCTTTTTATTACATAAAAAATTATTTTACTTACTAACATAATTTAACTCATGAAACATTGTCATCGAAAATTATTATTGCTTACTATACTAAAAACAATCAATATACTTTCGATATCAAACTGCAAATTTAAAATTTTCATCAAAGATACTAATCAATAATAATAACCATCAAGATATACTAACTTAATAATGACTCATAAACATTACATGTAAAATCTAATTGTCCGGGTTTGCTTGATTTTGGTAACGAATGTCGAGTACATAAGAACAAATTTATCATAGAACAAAGATTTACTCTCTAATATCAATGCTAAAAAATTTTAGTGTAACCAAATCGTTTAAAAAATGACATGTTCCTGTCATATTATTCTCTTTATCTCCTAATTTATCAGCTCATTTGATTAATGACCATTTTAAAACAGTTAGAAAAACTCTCTCATAATCCTGCGTTTCTTTTTTCTCCCTAATCACACACCACCACGAAACCATAGATAAGTTATTTTTCTGAAGTCATCTTTTTCTGGAATTTTTTTCTACGTACAAAAAAAACCCTTCTCAAGCCTAATATTTTTGACATATCACTGTTTTTAACCATGTAAAGAAGCTGCGCATATAAATTTAATGAAAAGAACGAAGTAATGAATATATTAAAAAGATAAGTTGACTTAAGAAAAACTCTTTAAATAATTTTATGTAAACTAAATAAACGTTTAAAATAGATTGTTGCTGCATGATTATTACTTTGCTTTCTCCTAAACCCCCTCATTACAACACCATCATTGTCCCTTGCCGCTACAGAAGAAACCTTAATCATCACTTGTGCCTTTGTAAAGCTCATGTCTCTCTCCATAGTCACGTCCTGCTGCTCATTCTGCATATCATTGATCAGCTTGTTTGAGGAATTTTGGGCACCATCGTTGCAACCGGCTCTGGTTTGTTCACTTCCAGTGTGGTTTAAAACATATGATATAGTATCGCTGGTTGTGGCTGGGGAGGAACAGTGATCCTGAATTGTTTGGCTGGATTTCTTGTAATATCCAATAGAGTTCAATTGGGCTTGAATTTTTGTAGGATGAGAGGAAGTGAAACTTCTTTGCTGCGGACACAAAGATGAAGACATTCTCTCATCAATGACTCATCATTATCAACTGTATTGGGATCTCATCAATCAATTCCAAACTCTCTAGTAGAGGGACTCGTTGATTCAACAATAGAGATCAAACAACTCTACTTATTGACACAATTATAACATCAGTCCTTTATTTGCATGAGTAGTTCCAATGCAATTCTACTCTTGCCACTGTTTAAAAATCACAACTAAACTTTTAGTAAATATGACAGAAAAGAACTGAAGTCCAAATTAAAACAAATAATCACAATATTACAGAGAAACTCAGAAACTATGGATGATATTACGGTCTGTACGGCAAATTGATTTAGTAAATAAAATTTGGGTCATTTGAGTCTTTGAGATTTCAAATTACCTATAAGTAAAATATATTTAAATAGAAGAACTGACCAAGGAGTATTGGTGATGAGAACAGTACGGTCTGTACGGCAACTTGATTGAGTAGTTTGAGGCTTATCGTCATAAACACCACTCCATGTTAGTAGCCGAGTAAACAACCATACCAATGGAATACATATCATCATCCCATAACGTTCACTTTTTGATCCATCCCAATCATCCCTTTCTTCATCGTATTTGTTTGTGTGTTTTGTTTTGATGTTGATCTTCTGATGACCGATAAGGAGAGCTTCTAGCGCCACCGGCCTGAAAGCCTTTATTCTTAATAAACTCTTTCAATCAATCAACTTTGATAAGCTCGTCATCATCATCGATCAATCCGATATCTCTGATGTGAAGCCAACCATCTTTATCGATCGTCTCTGTGGTAGCCACCGGATTGTTAAGGTATCCTTTCATGATCTGGTGGCCACAGATGCAGATCTCGCCAGGTTGGTACTTTGATAAGGAATCCCCGGTGTCTGGAACGACGATTTTCATCTCGATGTTTCTCACCACCGTACCATAAGACCTTTATTTCACCGGAAAAGACTCTTTCATGAACCCTAACGACATAGCACCGGACCTGCTTCCGTCATTCTGTATTCCTGATCATATAAACATGAAATAATATTTGGCAGATTGATTTAAGGTCAAAAGAACTAATAAAAGACTGCCCAAAAAGTTTTACCAGTAACTTAAATATCATGTTGTCTGGAGCTAGATGTGAAAGAGAAACATAACGATCAAAAGAAACATACCTTTTGTTTAATCTTTTAGGGCTAGCGTTCATTGATTATCATTTCTCCATATACCCCAAAAAACCTATAAATCAGACACATATATCAAATATAAGGAAAACAAACAAATTATGATATGCATGAACTAAATTACACCAGAAAAAATCTATATGAACGAAACTAAACCTATGATAACAGGAAAAACAAAAGTGAAAACATAGAAAAGATGTCACTGCGCGTAAAGTATATATAGCACAAAGGATTAGAGTTTACACAGAGTAATTTAGTTTGGACCGAAAAATAAATAAATAGATTTAGCTTCTATCGAATGACGGCGTTATTAAAATTTAATCTAAAAACGGCCTAAAAAATATCATATGAAGCCCACAAAAAGTCAAAATTATTTTTAAATAAATTAACCGAAAACGAAAACCAAATCTAAATAAACCATTCAGTTTTCACAAAATAATTTTTTTTCCCATGAGTGGCAGATGGCACATAACCCCTCTGAAAAGGGTTGTGATGTGTTTCTTACTTCGCGTTTAATATAATAGATAGATTTGTAGAGATCTATGCAGAATATTGTAGGCTGCGTTTGACTCAGCAAGCATACTTAAATTTAAATTAACTAATAGCTTACATTTAAAATATGTTCATATACTTATAGCTTATATTTAAAAGATTTTTTCTCAACATTGTGCTGACCATTGTACGACACTCACGCTGCTATAGGCAAATTTCGTTCTTTGTTCTTAGAAAAAAATTATGAAACTTTAAATTGGGTATTAACTATTTCGTCACATCATTATAATGACATCTCAACCAAACTGTGAACCACCACAAGAAACAGGTACACACAACACAAGTGACCACTGGTTTAGACTTCCACTACATATCACCAACACACAAAGACACAAACATTATGCATTGCATCTTCACTAAAAGATTATCCCAGCAATAACTAATACAAGCAACACACTTTGTTCTCTTTTGCTTAATATCTTCTCGCCCAAAAGATATAATTAACAAGATTAATAGTGTTAAGAACACATAACACTACATAAAACAGCTCGAGCCTAAACTCGTTAGCATTTTTTCCGTTGAGCCATCCCGTGGCCGCGTTAGTGACATCCACTAGAACCGTGCTGAGGAAGAAACCTAAAGCGGTCGAGCACCACCCCAACGCCGTGCTTATGCTCCTCATACTCGCCGGAGATTCCCTATAGAAAAACTCTAACATTCCTCCAAGAGTCAACAAATCCGAGAAACTCAATAAAACATACTGAATCTCTAACCAGAACACAGAGATCTTGATGTTGTTGTGAACCGCCTCACGTTTTCTCTTGACCTCCACGATGGCTGCAATCACCATTGCGACAGAGGTGAGAGCTAAGCCGGCTCCTATGCGTTTCAAATTGAAGCTCGATGATCTTTCGTTGTTGCTTAATGAGATCTTTCTCCCAAAGAGTTCGTAGAAAGCTATGGAAGAGAGCATGAATAGGAGAGCAATGGCGTGGAGGGAAGCGGCGGGAACCTCGAAGGAGTGCGAGAGTTTTCTATCCATAAGCATGCCTTGTTGTACGGAGAAGGTCGAGAGTTGTGCTAAGCAACAGTTCATTACAATTGTGCTGGCAAAGATTGGTAAGAGAGATAGAAATGTTCTTGTTTCTTCAACTTCTGTTGCTGAAATCTTGTTGTTGAGCGTCGCTTTATTCAAGAACCTAAAAAAGTTAAATACCAATTCCGCGTCTTGAGGCTCTATTTTTTAAATGGATTATTCTTATGTTACATATAAATCATAAACGTAAATTTAACTTATATAAATACAGAAATTTAGTTAGTTCGATTATAACAAAGTCTATCGAATTCACGTAGTCTAATTTTCTATCTAAATCCCTTTCAAATGTAAACAAACAACAAAAGTACACATTTAAAAAAAAATTGTAAAATGCACAATGAAAATTTACGAAAATTTATAGTTTTTCGTTAATTTTTAAAGGAACTATATTCAATTCTAAATTTTGGAACAACGGTTTCATGTCGAACAAAAAAAAAACAGGAAAATAGATTCCCTAATAAGTTTGGGACAAGTGCTATATGGTTGATAAAGCTTATTTACGTTTGTTTGATTAGTGCGAAAAGAAAAAAAGAAAAGTGTTTAGAGTTAATTACTTGAATTTGTTGTGATGAATGCTTTTGTCGGTAGAGTTGTTATGACTCTGCGTCATTTCTGCATCCGTTACAAACCTATTTCGGTTTCTTGCGGCAGAAACAAACACATTCGCAATTCTGCTAAAAGGACTTCCCGTTGGACGCTTGAACCGATAAATCGGGAATCCCACGGCGAATATAACAAACGCGGAGGCTAAAACCGCGGTGGTTATATCGAAGCTCGAGCTCCATCCTATCTTCTCTTCAATCCAAACCATAATCGTTACGGCCAATAAACCTCCAAGACAGATAGAGAAGAAATACCAATTGAAGAATCCTGAGATAACTCTCTGCTTTCGACTATCAAACTGGTCACCTCCGTGAGCCGGCAACGAGGCTTTGACACCTCCGACACCAGTAGCCACCGCGTAAAGTCCGGTGAATAGAAGGGTTGATTGAAGAGTCCATTGGGATTTAGCTCCATTAGGTTGTAGTTTAGGGTTATGAGCTTGGATGGTCAACAAGATCAAACCCTATCAAAGAAAGGAGTAAAGTTTTCAATTAAAGTTAGTTATAAATTTTTTGGCTTTTTTTGGATGATTTTATTGAGTTTTTGGATTTACCAGAAGTTCAATAGAACAGAAGAGGATAAAGGCGGTGAAGCGGGTGACAAACGAGTCGGCGACAAAACCACCAAAGATTGTGAGCAAAAACGACGTTCCGGTGAAATTGGTCACCATGTTTGATGCTTTGGCTGATGAGTAATGCAATGATTTGGTAAAGTATGTGATGAAATTGGTTGAATATGCTAAGAAGACCATATTCTCCATCAGCTCCACAACTACATATTAGCCCACACCAAATCTATTATAGATAATTAAAAAGGATTATATTTTAAAGGGTCTATTTGTTGGGTTTTAGAAAATTTACCACAAGCAATGGAAGCAGCTTTAATCCCACCATGTTTGCCAGGGATTGCTTCTTTACCTCTCCAATCTTCAAACTTCTCTTCCATTTCATTCTGCATCTCTAACAATCCCTTAGATTAACGATGAATAAATTTTGTTTATATAAGTAGTTATAGGTGTATACCTTGAAATTACCGATGGAATGTTGCTTTTTGATTTTAGATTAAATAGAAGTAGATTGCGTGAGAGATGTAATAAAATAAAGTAATTAAGAGCAAAAACGGAAAGCAAATACCATATTGACCTCTTTTACAAGTGTCGCACTAGTTTCTTTTTATTTGGATATATGCAAATAATTACACCACATTTCCATGACTAGAAATTAGATGAATTTTCACGATACACCAGGAGTTTTATCATATTTCTATATAAATAAGATTGACAGCTAAAATATTTGAAATTAAATAAAGATATGTATTCAAATAATAACTTTCATAATCTTTTTTGGTAATCATTCTTAATTAGTAAAGTTTAAAATGATTAATTTCAATAATCAACTAAGAAATTTAGACTCAGAAAAGAAGATTGTATATTTTTTTCTTAAAGTGTTTTCATTCTTGTTAAAATAAGATTTCTTACTGGTTAATTATTTATTAGAAGACCTCCTGTCAATGAAATAGAAAAAGAAATCGTAATTTTCGTTGTTTTATATTCATGTACTGAAAGCTAATAGTATCTTACTTGACATGGAAGTGATAGTATAGTTAGTGAATGATATCGATGTATATCATGTATATCAATTATAGAATATTCCAAATCTAAAGAAAAAACTTCTAACATAACTTTTTTTTAGTGATATTGAATATCATCAGTGATAAAGATTCATGCATCGACCCATTTCTTTTCTTTCCTTACTAGCGATGTTACCGCGCTACGCACGGATTGTTATCATAAATATTAATTATTATTTTAGTAAAAATTATAAATTGATATTTTAAATATAATATTTATTTTTAATATCATTTTGATGTGGTCATATATCTAAATAATTTTAATGTATTCAAAAAATATATTATGATTTAATTTAAAAATTAACTAATTTGATATATGTGAAAATTAATCATTAATCTAAAACTTTATATTTATATATAAACTTATTACTGCTCACCAACTTCCAAACTATGATTAAATTTAGTTTTGTTGTAACTAAATTTGATATATAATTAAACTCAACAACTATAAGTCTCCTCTTTATTTAATTTAAAACAATTTTTTCATTAAAAAAAATACTTATCAAATATATGACTACAATTGAAACACCTATATTTAGTTCCAATTAATTTAGATATCTTTTCATTTCAATTGTGTTCGTGTAATGGATTTTATTTATGAGCAGTCTTAAATATAAAACAACAATTAATATTCAAAACTCTTACAAATCCGTAAAAGAACTATTGTTCATATAAATGAAAATAACATTTACATAATATATATAATCACAAACATATTGATAAAATGTATTTTTTATTTGGTTTTTGAAGTATCTGTAAACCATAGGAGTGTAGATGAATAAAGAAAGTAATACGTATACAAATACATCTTCATACAAACTCATTTTATTAAACAAAGTATGTGTAAAAGATTCATTTGCATTTTCTTGTAATTTAACTTAGATATTTTTATTACACTACATATATATTATGGTAAAATTTTATAATTAAAATAATAATATATACTAAATTATTTTTAAAAAAGTTTCTTAACCCAAAAAAAAACATATCAGTTTCATTGCATGTTGAGTTTGTAAAAAAATTATTTCTTGTTCATGTACATGGTTAGAGAAGTGTTTATGATATTTTCTGTTTATATACTATTTTTAAATATGGAAGTGTAATATTTTAATGTTTAATATAAACTTATGCAAATATATTTCTACATATGCATGACTATAATGATGATTCATACTATACTGTAATTAATTTAATTTATGCCTAAAATTATTTAGCCAAAAATATAGGAATAGCATGTACATAATCATACATATTTGATGTTTTAATTGTTGTGTGAACGAAATTAATATCTTATAATATTATATCTTAACGATTTTTAGTTTAAACATGTGATTATTATTAATTTGAGGTGTAAGAATTTATAATATTATATATATATATATTATTTTGATTTTAGTTAAAATCAAGTTATAATATGTTATATGTTTGTTACCATAGTACATCCAATTTAATCAATATTCAAATATTACTATTATTGTTAATTAAACACTATTTAATTTTAAGCATGTTAATAATATATTAAAAATTATTTTTATTAAAGATTTGCTGATGTGGCATGATTATAGAGATTTGGTTTTTGCTGATATGGATAGCTTTAGAAGCCCCAAACTTCTCCTTTCATTTAGTATAGATTAGGTGATCGGCCGACACACATTAAAATATTTTATATATTTAATATATGAATAACATTATATATTGAAGATGTTTTATTTGTATTTGATTAATTATATATTAATAATAATAATATTATATAAATATTTAATAATAAAAATAATAATAAATTAATTAAAAATATTATAGATATCAATAAAAATTAAAGATAAAAAATATTAGAACATATTTTAATAACACTTCATCAGATAAAAGTGTAAATATGATAATTAAATAAACTACAAACATTAAATTCTATAATAATTTATTTAATTATTATGGTAGGTCCGCACGTATATGCAAGTATAACTTTTTATATATATAATTTGTTGTAATATTTAAGTATTGATTAATTACATTATGTAAGCATTATGTTTTTATACATATACAGTTTTAGTGTTTAACAACAATCACACAAACATTTCATATCATTTTGTGTCTTTGAAAAACTTATTATATAAATGTTAAGTTTCTATACATATACAATTTTAGTGTTTAACAAAAATCACACAAATGTTTTATATCATTTTGTATCTTTTAAAAAAAAATTATTTTTTCAAGCGTTTAGAGTAACATTTAGTCGCAAATGTAAAAGTTATATTAAATAATAATTAAATTCTTATAATATGTTTTGAATATTATCTATATTATAATTCTTTTTCCTTTTGCACAATATAATCTTGTCAATATATATATTTTAAATATATTTTTCTTTGACCTATTGCTAAGTAAACCAAAATGAGTTTACCATCACTACTTATCTTAAGAGCGGATAGATGGTTAGTCCGCACATTCGTGCGTACCAACTACTTCACCGTTCTTAGGACATATAGAGAATTTTTTAATAAATACAAATTGACTTATAACTAAAATTACAATTAGACTGTGATTGAGGTTAAAAAAAATGTATGCATGACAAGTTTGCATGCGACTTTGATTTTTGCACAATTAATATTTATATATACATGCATATTTGTGAAAAAACCAAAGTATGGTTTTTATGTTAAAAGAAAACAGCAAAATATATGTTTTATAATATATATTTTTATAATGTATGATTGATTTTTCTATAAACAAATAAATATATTTATGTATGTAGGTATGAGTTATAAATACGTGAATTATAATATTTAGGTGTTGGCTAGTTTTTCTAATATTTTCTGCACACGTTATGATTTTATACGATACAGTTTTTGGCGTTTAACAACAATCACGAAAACTGTTTTTATCGTTTTGTATTTAATCAAAATTTCTTATTTTTCAGCTTTTTATGATATATGGTTTCTCAACAAAAATTATAATAAAAACTTATTATAAAATTTGAGAATTATTATTTTATAATATTCTTTGGTAGCTCTCTGCGCATCTCTTCGTCAAATTTTTTACAGCCCGCAATCGTTCGCTTCTATAAACTCTCTGTAACCGCAGCGTTTAAACAAGCCGGTACCTAAAATTATATGTGTATGATGGAAGGTGTAAAATAATATATTTAATATTTAATTGTTATATTAAAAAATAAGAGTTCTTTTATTTCTAACTTTGATATATGTGTTAATCTTATACATAATGGATCATAACATATACAAAACTTGATTCGTGAAATAATATTTTAAGATATTGAAAAAATATATGCATGAAAGAATTAATATGTGTAAAATAATATTTTAAATATTTCAAAGTAAAAACATAAAATCGATCAAAATTGTTTTTTTGTCTTATTTGACTCATATTTTTTTTTAACCTTGAATAATATATTAAATATTAAGATCATCTCCAATGTATTTTTTTATCTTTTTTCTAAAATATAGGTGGATTTCTCTATAACTTATTTCTATATTAAAAAAAAGATTGTTACTTTTTCCTCCAATTATAGAAGAAAAAGTAACATAGCTAATTGTCCTCTAAATTAGAAGATTTAATATAAAGGTGGATTAGAGATGCTTAAACAAAAGACATAGCCTGAGATTTTTACAGAAAACCAAAGCCATAAAGATTCATTTTTACTTTTACTTCAACTTTTTATTCATATGTTTATTTATATCAAATAAAATTTATAATAAATATTTGTTATAAAATTTTTGAAATTATATTTTATAAAATTCTCTGGTAGCTCTCCACTCATCTCTTTGTCCAATATTGTGGAATTAGGATAAAGAAAATAAATTTCTTATGGTTGGTCTTCATGCATGTGTTCATTATAAAATTTTAGTCACACATGCGTTTATTATAAAAAAAATTCTTAAGATTTTTAAATGACTCTGTGAAACAAAGTTTAAGAGTGTTACGTAAAAACAAAACTGTAGAAATTTATATTTATTTTTACTTCTACTTCTTATTCATATGTGTTTTTTTATTTATAATTTAATTTTTCATCCGGTTACATTGCGTTTTGTTTCTCATCTTAAATTATGTATCTACAATGAGATCGTATATGAGTATAATATAAATTTTTAATTTATTTAAAAAAAAAAACAAAGATAAGAGATAAAATGATATGGTAATGTAAGCTACTCAAATTCCAGAAAACAATAATATTAAAACATTTAGAAAATATAATTACAAATAATAATATATCATACTCTTAACATTATTAATATATTGCGTATATACTATCTTATTGGATAATCTATTGTTATTTTTTCTATATAAAAATATAAAATATATATTTGTTGTAAAAATTTTGTAATCATATTTTATGCAATCTATTATGAATATATATATAAACAAATTGAAATCGTAGTAATTATTTATTTTCTGTTAATTTAAATTTATTATTTTAGTGTTATAATCTAATGTATTTATGTTATAACTGTATAAATTATTTAATTATAATTTGACCAATCAAAACATTTCGTTTATTTTAGAAAATTTGTCATGTCACATTTCCATGTCACTATTAATTTACACTAACTTTTGCTAAGGTGGCGACACATCATATTTTTTTTATTAAACATGCTTCTCAAATAATAGTTTAGACAGGGTTGGGCAAAATATCCATTAGATCCGCTTCGAACCAGTATTTACTTCGATTCAATTTAAAAAATCCGGATATCTGTAAAGTTTCAGAGCATAGTAAAATGTAATATTCGTACACAATGGATTTAATCACAAATATGTTTTTAAACAACGTTGGATATCCGCTCTGATCTGTATCTTAATAAAATTATTATATTATAGTATATTTTATCATGTATATATCTATTATATTATAAATTTTTATTATATCTTTATTGTTATGCTATGAATTTTCTTTCTAAATTCTTTTGATTATATAAGGAGGGGTTATATGAGATGGATTTTAAAGAATTCTTTAAGTTTTGAGATTTCATCATTATTGGTTTATAGATTCTTAAAATCCTAATAAAATTCATTGTTATTGGTTTAAAAGTTTTAAAATTACATCCAAAATCTTTTATTATTCAAATAGTTTGATTTTTAAAGATTCTATGATGCTATTAAAATCTTGTGTTATTAGGACATTGATTTTAAACAATCTAACTCATAAAACAAAATCTAAGAAGACTTTCAAAATACTATCTATATGGTTTAGATTTTCAAAATCATTATAATAAAATATTTTAATAGATTTTCTAAATATACAAACTCTTTGCAATTTCAACAAGTCTTTTTAACAAATTTAGCAAATCTTCCAACTCTTAAAATCAATCAAAAATTTATAACTATATTTTCCAATAACTCCCCTAAAATATCTGTAGATATCCACAAATATTTGTAAATTTTTCGAATATCCGAAAATCTGTATATCCGTATATTTTTGGAACAAATCAATTCATAAAATTAAATATCCATTAAAAACAGAACAAACTACAAATACTATAATTTTCTGGATTTCCGATCCGCACCGAGCCCTACTTCCTTATACTCAGAACCGAGATATGCCACATAACAAATTTGAAGTTTTTTAGACTTGCGAGGAAAGTGAAAAAAACATATACACAAGCGACCATTGATATACAATCAATACAACAAAAACACAAGTGTCTCTCCTGGTGATGACACCTCAACATTTTGGAGCTTTCTGAAGATGACACTTCAGCAGAAAAATTTACCAATCAAAACATTTTATTAATACAACTCATCTATTTATTTTAATTTTTAAACTTAAACCCATTAAAAACCTAAATATTTTTAATGTTAATTTTAGTTTTATTTTTGGCCAAACCCAAGCCTAAATAATCAATAACAGAAAAAAATGTGTTTTATTTCTTTCCAAACCCAAGCTCAAATAATAAATAATAACAAAAAATTATTTTATTTTTTGCCAAACCCAAACAATAAATAATAGAAAAATTAAAAAAATTATAATGTCTAGCTACATGTTTGCTTGACAAAGACATGTATAATTGAAAAAATGTAAGCCAAGCATAAACTATGTTTCCATGACAATAAAGCAAACAAGCCATCTGTTATAAAAAGCTCACAAACCGTATGTTTTAAGTTGACAAATAATACAATTTCTTGGTTTTCGTGGGGAAAAACGATTTCTTAGTTTTCGCGGAAAAACACAATTTGATGATTTTGGCAGAAAATGCAATTTCTCGGTTTTGGTGGGAATTAGAAATTTTTCAGTTTTTATGGAAAATGTAAATATTCATTTTTTGACGGATAATGCAATTTTTTAATTTTTGTGGGAAAATATGATTTCATAGTTTTTGCGGAAAACGCAATTTCTCTTGAGATAATGCAATTTTCGGTTTTCACAGAAAAATGTAATTTTGCGGTTTTTGTGGGAAAATGTGAATTTTGGTTTGACGAGAAAATGAAAATTTTTGGTTTAGGCGAGAATATGCGATTTCTTGGTATTTATGGGAAAATAATTTTTCTGGTTTTGATAGGAAATATATTTTGGTTTTTGCAAGAAGAAGAAATATTTTGGTTTTGGTGAGAAGACATGATTTCTCGGGTTTGGCGGAAAACACTGGTTCTCGCGGGAAAATGTGATTTCTTAGCTTTTGCTGGAAAATGCAATTTCTTGGTTTTGGTGTGAAGATGAAATTTTTGGTTTGACGAGAAAATAAAATTTCTTGGTTTTGGCGGGAGTAAGCAATTTCTCCGTTTTCTTAGAAAAATGGTTTTTTTTTGTTTTAACGGAAAATGCGATATTTCAGTTTTTCTAAGAAAATAAAACTTTTTGGTGGTAAAATTTCAATTTACCATATGTTTACAGTAACCAAAATTAAATTAATTAACTTTTGCTAAATTGATATTTCAATAGTTTAAACATATTTTTTATTTAGTTTTAAACCAATAGTAATTATTTTGCTATAAATGTTATTAATTATAGTTTGGTAGGTTTAGAAACATATGTTTATTATATATTAGTTGATGATCCGTGCTATGCGCGGCTATGTGATTTATTTTTATATTTTTTTATTAACTTTGTTGTATCGTATATTTTTGGGAATTTTAAGATAGACTTCTATTTCTCATATATACATGTCTCGAATTTTTCATCTTTTTCAAATTTCTAGTTTGTGATCTAGTTTTTGAGACTGGTTCCGTTTTTGTCGTAGTTTTTGGTGAAAAATATGAATGGCGTATTACACACTTTCTTATCACTATTTCATAAAAAAAATTAAGCTGTGGACGTTTGAAGAAAAATCATGAACCGAATTGTCTTGTTGCACAATATTTTCCATGCCTTTTTTGTAAAAGCCATTTCAAAATCATTTTTAAAAAATCACATGGATTAATTCCTAGTTTGTGATCTACGTAACACAGGGATTTGATTATTATTTTATGTATTTTTTATATTATTATATCATATATTTTTTGATATTTTGTGATTGTTTATTTTTTTTCAATGTACTCATCTTTAATTTCTTGACCTATCTTAATTTTGATCAAATATTATCCATCCAAGATTATTTGGTTTATTCAACAAATAAGAAAAGAGAACATATATGAATGTATGATATTAGATATCCAAATTATCAATTTAAGAATTTTTTTTTAATTAGAGAGTTTTTTAAAATTTCCTTATTTTCCCAAAAACAAATTTTGAAGTTGACTTTCATCCAAATTATTGAGAATTTGTGAATAGATTTTGGATAATACATTCTCAAACCCATCTTATTACCTGAATTTCCTATTCCATAGGTTTCCTTTGGAAATTGTTTTCCGTCTTTCTAATTACCAACTCTCATCACACACTTTTAAATTTATGGTTTTAATCTTGAAATACTCAAAACTAACGTATATCATTTTTTATTTTTATTTTGTATTTTGTTTATTTTTTATTTTCTGGCATCACTTTATAATTTACCGTTTTATGTTTGCTATTTTTTATATTGAATGTTAATGTTAATATTTATTATTTTCAGTCTTTCTAATTATCAATGTCTGTCACATACTTGTAAATTTCAGCTTTGAATCTTAAAACAGTCAGAGCTAATGTATATAATTATCTATTGGTTTCTATATTGTTAATTGTTTTTCCTGACAACACATTATAATTTTTTTATATTGAATGTTAATATTAATTTTTATTATTTTCTATCTTTCTAATTACCAATTTCTTTTACACATTCGTAAATTCTATCTTAAATGTTAAAATACTCAGAGCTAATGTATATCATTATTTTTTGATTTTGCTATTTTATATTTTGTTGATTTTTATTTTCTTACAACTCTTTTTATGTTTGTTATTTTTTTTATTGAATGTTAATGATATTTTTTATTGTTTTATGACTTTCTAATAATCACTTTCCATCACATAGTAAAATATTCAAAGCTAATGTATATAATTATTTTTTGGTTTTATTTTATTTTCTGAAAACATATTATAATTGTCTTTTTAGTTTTTATGTGTTTTATATTGAATGTTAATATTATTTTGTGTTTTAGGAGAATTTAATTGAAAAATTTTTAATGATATAGTTGCTGGTAAAAGAGAAATGAGGTGGCATTTGATTGGAACGCTGACATGGCTAAATGAGAAGAGAGAAAATGTTACTTTATAGATATATAGATATTTGATAAATAAATAAATTTTATAATTCAAAATAATCATATTAATTAATAAATCTTTTTTTAAAGTGACATTTTATTTTATATAATTATAAAGGAAGACCAAATGGCAATTTAGTGAAGAAAATAGATTAGTTTACATATACATTTTTAGTTAGTTAGTTAAACAAATTTGATAGTAAATTAAAATTTAAAAAAAATTAAGGATATATAATGTTTATTCAGATTCAAGGTAATAAAATAAATAAATATAATATTTATTTATATTATAAAAATATTTTTATTATATTAAAAATATATATAAAATTTAGAAACATATTATGCAGTGTAGCGCGGGTAATTACCTAGTTTGGTCAATCACAATTAACAAAAAGAATTGTTAATTATTTAAAGTGATAAAAAAGTCATGGACTGCTTTAATGAAATGATGAGAAGTCATATAATGTTGAAAATAACAGTTTTCTTCACTGTTGGAAACAATTGAAATTATATTTTCCTTATAAATTAAACTTCATATAAAATAAACATGCTAGTTAGTTACAATCCAAACTAACCCATTGTTTTAGTTAATGTAAAATCGATGTGTAGCGGATACTATATATTTTGTTATTTTTCTAGCAATAATTAAGAAAACAAAATTGACCAAACCACTGGTTCTTGCTCAGCACGAATCTTGCATTACAAAAAAAAAAATTGAAATGACTTGCCAAGAAGTCAAACATTAATTTAAATTTATTTATTTTTATATTTATTTTGGTCAAAAACATTACTTTAAATTTAATTCTCAACTTTTGGTATACTTATTTACACGTAGCAGCCGATTAGCCACATATATAGCTTAAACTTTCTCAGTGTCGAAAATGATTAAAAAAAACAAATTAAATTAAAAAACCAAAAAATGATTATCAATTTCCAAATCGTTATTAGTATTTAACCCCTTAACCCATTCTCCATTTTTACCACCTTTAGTTTTAATATTAGCATCATTATTATTATGGTTATCGCTCCGTTTATCACGTTCTTCTCGAGCAGCAAAAATTTCTTGAACAATATCCTCCACATCCATTTTCGTATTTCCATCTTTACCCTTTTCACCACCATCCTCCGGCGCCGGAATATACGGCGGTCTAGAAACCAATAACACTCTATCCCAATCTACTCCTCTAAAGAAATCGTGACCTTTGATCTCCTCAACGTTAATCCTACGGCTAGGATCTTTCTCCAACAATCTTCTAATCAGATCCCGCAACGACGTAGTTTCACCAACTAGATTCGGCGGTTTAGTTAAAATCCGGAAAAACGTCTCCTTCCGGTTCGAGCCCTTAAACGGCGTCGTTCCGTACAACATCTCGTATAGAACCACACCTAACGACCACCAATCGACGGCGAAATTGTGACCGCCTCCGGTAATAACCTCCGGCGCGACGTATTCCTCTGTTCCAACGAAGGAATTCGATTTTTCTCCTCCTCGTGACGAATCCGTCGCGGCTAATGAGCGAACCGAATTCGATTCTTCTTCCCCCGGCGAGATTCCCGAATTGCAGAAACTTACGAATCGGAAGGGACGTTTCTTTCTCCTCCTCGCCGGCGACGGTTTTTCTCCCGATGATTGTGACGGTGACGGCGACGGATGCGGCGTTCTCGGAGGGAGATTCGTTGATAGATCAAAATCCACGAGCATCAAATGTCCATTCTCCTGAATCATCACATTGTCCGGCTTCAGATCTCTGTACATGATTCCTTGATTATGCAAATAATCAAACGCTAGAACAAGCTCCGCCGCGTAAAACCTGAAATTAGAGACATCAATCGGAAAAATCAACAACCAATTCTGAGAAAAAAATCAATTAGATTTTCAAATTCCATCGGAGAATTACCTGATAATCTCATCGGAGAACATACTTTCCGATTGCATAATCCTTAGAGAATTGAGATTCCGTCCGGGACAATAATCGATTGCGTAACCGATTACTTTATCTGTTGATAATACACCGTGAAGAGAAGGAAAAAGAGGATGATCGAATCTGCTTAATACTTCCTGCTCGAAACTAACGCGCTTATACTCATCGTTCTTCTTCTTCTTCTTCTCGATTGCTTCTCTAAGTATAACTTTCAAAGCAAATAACTTGTCATCGTCTTTGTCTCTCACCAAGAAGACAGCTCCTTTAGCACCACGACCAAGTAATGACAAAACCTCAAGTCGATTAAAGTCCAGAGACGGGCTCTGCATCGAAAGAGATTTTTACAAAACGTCGACGTTTGATTAGGATGGCTTTATTTTTCTTCTCTCTTGGTTCTGTGTAGTTGGTGACAACTTATAATAAGAGAAAGTGACGCACTTTGTTAAAAGGTCTCTATACTCGTTTGTTGATTTCTTGCCTTGCCGGGGAAGATTTCAAATTGGTAAAATAGATAAATAAATAAAGTCAAAAAAAAGTGAAACGGAAAATCGCATGAGATTCGCTGCCATGTGTTTGACCAAATTTAAGCTTTTCAGATCTGAAACAATAAATAATGCTTTGTTGGGTTTAATGGTTGAGAGAAAATGTTCGGCGTGGTGTTTATGACAAACACGTGCTGTTCCGAGGTTGTGACGTCATGAGTGACGTTTTTCTGTGGAGGCGAAAGCATCTAGCAGGCGTGGAGGAGGGAAGTTGCGTTTGAAAAACGCGGCGGCCTCTTCCGTGCGTAGAAGCTTTAACCGGTCAAATGGGCTTAACATTAGTAGTTTTATCAAGTATGAACATTAATGTAACACAACCATTCTCAAACGCATTTTTTACATTAGTAGTTTTATAAAAACATGTGTGTAAGAAACTGTTAATTTTTTTAAAAAAAACTAAATTTAGATTTCGATACACATATATATAGATTTCGACGTTTATAAGTATGAACTGTTAATTTTTTTTGCTGTTGAAAAAACTGTTAAATTTTGAAATCAGATATCGACAACCAAATGGAAAGCTGTATAAATCCATGTTTTTATTTATATATATTTACTTAAGTTAACTCAAATTTGTTGTTATTTAATTTTTATTTTTGTTTCCTAACAGTTTAATAGGTAAACTTTATGGATGATCTTCTCATTAGGATGAAGTTCCTTTTATTTGGCAGATTATTTGCACAGATGAAAATTAAACAGTAGTTTAGTATCAAATCACCAAGGATATTCCTTCCGTATCAATAAATTTTATTTGTTTGTATGTTTTTGTATGATTTTTTTTTAATTATATTTATATTTAGAGTATATTATCAATAGCATTTCTAGCGCATCGAGTAATTATGAATTTTTAGTCATGTTTATTTATATATACTAGGTATATACCTGCGCTACGCTGCGGGATATATTTCTAGATTTTGTATATATTTTAAATATAATAAAATTATTTTTATAATATAAATGAGTATTATATTTATTTTTTATTAACTTAAGTTATGTATTTATATGTTTTAAATCTGAATAACCATTATATATCCTTAAATTTTTTATTTTTAAAAATTATAATCTACTACCAAATTTGTTTAGCTAACTATCTATAAATGTATATGTAAGAATAAAACAATACATTTTTAAGTACATTTATGCGAATGGCAAATGTAATTTGTTATCTCTACTAAATTGCCACTTGATCCTCCTTTAAAATTATATAAAGTAAATTGCCATTTAAAAAAAAACTGAGAAATCGCACTTTCCGACAAAACAAAAAAATTTCATTTCACATATTCCTGCCAAAACCAAAAACATTCATTTTCTCGTCAAACTTGAAATTTTATTTTCACACCAAAAAAAAGAAATTACATTTTCCCGCAAAAACCAAAAAATCACATTTTCCTGCGAGAACTTGTGTTTTCCCATCAAAACAGAGAAATCAATTGACAAAAAATTTTTGTATATTTCTAGATTTTGTATATATTTTAAATATAATAAAATTATTTTTATAATATAAATGAGTATTATATTTATTTTTTATTAACTTAAGTTATGTATTTATATGTTTTAAATCTGAATAATCATTATATATCCTTAAATTTTTTATTTTTAAAAATTATAATCTACTACCAAATTTGTTTAGCTAAATATCTATAAATGTATATGTAAGAATAAAACAATACATTTTTAAGTACATTTATGCGAATGGCAAATGTAATTTGTTATCTCTACTAAATTGCCACTTGATCCTCTTTTAAAATTATATAAAGCAAATTGCCATTTAAAAAAAAACTGAGAAATCGCACTTTCCGACAAAACAAAAAAATTTCATTTCACCTATTCCTGCCAAAACCAAAAACATTCATTTTCTCGTCAAACTTGAAATTTTATTTTCACATCAAAAAAAAGAAATTATATTTTCCCGCAAAAATCAAAAAATCACATTTTCCTGCGAGAACTTGTGTTTTCCCATCAAAACAGAGAAATCAATTGACAAAAAAACGGAGAAATCAAGTTTTTTCACCAAGACCAAAAAATTCATTTTCCTATGAAAACTGAGAAATCGTCAATTCCCACAAAAAAAAAAAATCATCAAACTAAAAATCAGGTCTTCCTACCAAAACTGATAAACTACAATTTTTCACGAAAACCAAAAATTGCATTATCTCCTGAGAAATTGTGTTTTCCGCGAAAGCTAAGAAATCACATTTTGCCGCGAAAACCAAAAAATCACATTATATGTCAAAAACTGAAAATTTGCATTTTCCATCAAGACTGAGAAATTGCTTATTCCTTCTAAAATCGAGAAATTTTGTTTTTCCATCAAACTGAGAAATTTCATTTTTCGCCAAAATATTCAAATTACAAATTCCCACAAAAACTAAAAAATCACATTTTTCCGAAAAAATCAAGAAATCACATTATCCATCAAAAGCCGAAAATTTTCATTTCCTATCAAAACCAAAAAATCATATTTTTTTGTCAATTGAAAAGTTGCATTTCCTTCACATTTTCTCGTCAAAACTAAGATATTTTGTTTTCGCGTCAAAATTATTTTTTTTTTCTCACCAAAACCAAAAATTTCATTTTTTCTGCCATAACCAAGAAATTATGTTTTCATAGCAAAACTGAAAATCACATTTTCCTACCGAAACCAAAGAATTCCCTACTCCCGCTAAACCCATGAAAATTTGTTCAGAGTAACCACTGGAAATGCGAATCTCCAAGTTATGGTGTTCTGAGCTTCTCCTCATTTGCTTTCGACTTCCATTTTTTTGTAAACTTTTGGGCTTTTTAATGGGTCTGCAAAATAGTAAACTGATTTTATTAGTGTGTGAATGATATGTATTATTGTTATGTTTTTATTGGTTCAAACTTTTGCTGATGTGTGAGCTTCTTCTAACATAAAGTTTTTTGCGTTGTTGTTATGGAAACATAGTTAATGATGAACCTACACTTTTTCAATCATATAGTATGTCTCTCTCGAAAAAACAGATAACTAAAAAAAAAATTATTTATTTGCTGTTAATTGTTATTTGGGTTTGGGATTGGCAAAAAATAAAACAAAGATTTTTTTTATCTGCTGTTATTTATTATTTGAGCTTGGATTTGACAAACAATAAAACAAATATTTTTTTATTTGATGTTGTTTATTATTTGGGCTTTGATTTTTTAAAAAATAAAACAAATTATTAACAAAAAATGTATTTGGGTTTTTAATGGGTTTAAATTTTAAAATTAAATTAAATAGATGAGTTGTATTAATGTTTTAATTTGATTGGTTTGTAAAATAGCTGAGGTGTCAGCTTCTCAAAGATTAAAAAATCTGATGTGTTAACTTATGGAGAGACTTGAGTGTTATTGTTGTATTGACTAAGTATTTATCCGCGCTATGCTGCAAAATATTTTTATAAATTTTGTATATTTTTCTAATATAATAAAATTATTTTTATAATGTAAATAAATATTATATTTATTTTTTTATTAGCTTAAGTTATGTATTTATATGTTTTAAATCTGAATAAACATTATATTTTTAATTTTTTAATTTTCAAAATTATAATTTGCTATTAAATTTAGTTAGCTAACTAATTATAAATGTATATATAAGAATAAAATATATAAGAATAAAGCAATACGTTTTTAGTACATTTATGCTAATGGCAAATGTAATCTATTTTCTCCAATAAATTGCCACATGATCCTCCTTTGTAATTATATAAAACAAAATACCATTTAAAAAAAAGATTTATTAATTCATATGATTATTTTGAATTATAAAATTTATTTATTTATCAAATATTTTATTATAAACATATGTTTCTAAAACTACTAAACTATAATCAATAACATTCATATCAAAATCATTGCTATTGCTTTAGAACTAAATAGAATATCATGTTTGAACTTTTAAAATATCGTTTTAGTTAAAGTTAAATAATTAAATTTTGGTTACTGTAAACATACTTTAACTTGAAAATTTAGCACAGAGAAATTTCATCTTATTACAAAAATCGAGAAATTGTATTTCCCATCAAAACAACAAAAACTTCATTTTCTCATTAAACTGAGAAATCGGTTATTTCCACCAAAACCTAAAAAATTCATTTTCTCGTCAAACCTAAAACCTAAATTTTATTTTCCCGCGAGAACTTGTGTTTTTCACCAAAGCCGAGAAATTATGTTTTTTCACAAAAACTAAAAAATTTCATCTTCTTGCAAAAACCAAAAAAAAAATTGTATTTTCCCGCCAAAATCGAAAAATTTATTTTTTCTGCGAAAACTGAGAAATCGTCTATTCCTGCCAAAACAAAAAAAAAATTTATTTTCTCGTCAAACCCAGAATCATGCTTTCCTACAAAAACAAATAAACTACAATTCCCGCAAAAACCAAAAATTGTATTATCTCCCGTGAAATTATATTTTCCCACGAAACTAAGAAATTGTTATGTTTTTATCGGTTCAATTTTTATTGATGTGTGAGCTTCTTATAACATAAGGCTTTTTACGTTGTTGTCATGGAAGCATAGTTGATGCTAAGTCTACAATTTTTCAATCATATACGTCTATGTCAAACAAATAGATAGCTAGAATTTTTTTTATCATTTATTTGTTGTTATTTATTATTTGGATTTGGTTTTGGCAAAAAAAAAGAAAACAATGATTTAGTTTTTTATTTGTTTTTATTTATTATTTGGGTTTGGATTTGGTAAAAAAAGGAATAATGATTTTTTTATTTGCTGTTATTAAATATTTGGGTTTGAGTTTGGTAAAAAATAAAACAAAAATTAATAAAAAAAATATTTGGATTTTTAATGGGTTTAAGTTTGAAAATTAAAATAAGTAGATGAGATGTATTAATAAAATGTTTTGATTGGTGATTATTTTTGCTGAGGTGTCATATTTATAAAGCTTAAAAAAACTGAGGTGTCAAGCAATGGAGAGACTTAAGTGTTATTATTGTGTTGATTTATTATTTGGATTTGGATTTGGCAAAAAATACAATAATGATTTTTTTATTTGCTGTTATTAAATATTTGGGCTTAAGGTTGGTAAAAAATAAAACAAAAATTAATAAAAAAAATATTTGGATTTTTAATGGGTTTAAGTTCAAAAATTAAAATAAGTAGATGAGATGTATTAATAAAATGTTTTGATTGGTGATTTTTTTTGCAGAGATGTCATGTTTATAAAGCTTAAAAAAATTGAGGTGTCAAGCAATGGAGAGACTTTAGTGTTACTAGGTGATGACATGCGGGTATATGCTTTATTATATATTTTTGAAATTTGTAATCAATATAATATATTAAATAACTATATTTGTATTTCATAATAATTTATCTTAATGTTTATTTTATTTTTTACTTTCAAATATTTAAATATTTTTTTGGGGTTTTAGTTTGTCGTAAAAACTTTTTTAGTGTCCATATTGACTGTCTTTATATTATTGAAACCGTCCATATGAACTCCATGGATAAAATCCTATCAGAAAGTTGCAGTTGAAGGTGGGTTAAGTTCTAAAGGACAATAATGATCAATCTATTGAGAGCCACTTTTAAGAGAAGCTTTGGTTTACGAATGATCCGTTAGAGAGAGAGAGAGAGAGAGAGAGAGAGAGCCTAAGACTCATTTTCGCTCTTCTCTTGTTCCTTTCTTCAGCCTCACTATGTCCTCTTTTTAACTGCACCGTTGCCAGACCATGCTCTAGTACACTGTGATTAAACATCCATTGAAGTCGGATTCTCCAGAGAGAGAGAGAGAGTTAAGAGGTGATCGATCTTTGATGAGTCAAAGACAAACCTCGAGACTAAAGAGTTGACGATGTGCTTCTGAGAAGATGGTGGTGGCTTCTGTTTGTATTATCGCATGAACTCTCGAGACCAGAGAGTCCTTGACATTACTTTGTTCTCTGCCCTCTTGGTGATCACAAGCTCAGACCCACCAAAAAGCTCCACGGTGTTCACTGACTCGCCGGATACTACCATCTGGAATGAAGAATCCATGGAACTTATGCATATAAACCATGCACTTCTCAATCGTCTTGTGCTTCTTTTATCACACATCAAACAGCAAGTTGGATCCAACTCAAACTCGATACCATCCTCATCTATCTCTTCACCAGAATAAGAATCGTTCTCATCCATCTCTTCATCAGCCAAATCCTCGTCTGAATCAACCTCAACCCTTGACAATTGCCATTAGCACTGCCACCTTCGTTGGCAAGATGAAAATCGGCTTTCTAAGTTACGAAATCTGAAACACAAACAAAAAAAACACATGAATTTGACGATTTGGGTCTCATAAAACCACAATACAGTTATGATCAGAAGAAGACCAACCAAGCAAAACAAAAATTCATTTCTTAATTCTGTACAGACCAGAGCCATCTTGCAATTTCTGAAACAGATATCAGATGATGCAATAGACTCAAACCAGAGTACAACATAGACAACAATGATACAGTAAACAGAGGACCTCTACTTTTGGCTAATATTCACCGCGCATCAGTTGTTCTCGAGGCTAGTTGTCCAGTGCCGCTGTTGCGGGTGCACACATATAAGATCACTGCATCAAGAGCAAAAAGATCTTTAAAATCAGAATCTACTTATTATGATCACCACAAAGAAAGGAATCTCGTCTACTTTACCTTGGCATCCTTTTCACCTGCACCGGGTTTAGCAGAACCATTCGTCTTATGGGCATCATCTGCTGCACATATAGGCTAAATAAACATTTTGAGAATCTGCAGTTAAATATGTATCATTATGAAACAGACAATCATCTTCTTCAACTATCTATCATCAATCATGTCCATGGATATGTTTAGAATGTCTTAAAATCACTGGTTCCAAGCAGAACAACACCTTACAAAAGAAGTGACAATGAACATTAGAGTTTACGAGCTTGCGTAGGTCTGGAGTGATCATCACCTGCTTCTTCTGGGATGTCAGAAGTCCACAAGGTCAGATTGTCCCTAAGGAGTTGCATAATCAAGGTGCTAACTTTGTAGGATTCCTCATTCAGAGTGTCAAGCTTTGAGATAGCTTCATTGAACGCCTGCTTAACAAGGTGACATGCCCTGAATATAAAAAGAAACCAAACAATCTCAAATCCCTGAAACAGAGTCTTTTATGTTCTCAGTAATTAACACTCTCTTAACCTTTCAGGTGAGTTCATGATCTCGTAGTAGAATACAGAGAAATTAAGGCTAAACCCAATCTGATAGGATGTGTAGGAGGGAGTTTAGCTTCAGCAGCAGTAGTAGCAATCTGTGTAAAGGAAACCCAAAAAGAAAAACTTAAAACTAAAATCTAAGAAAACCGAGAATATCAAGTGATCGATAAACACTATAGATCACAAGTAGATAACCTCATAGGCTTTCAAAGACTGATCAGCAGCCTATTTCCTCTCATTTTCTGATTTGAATTCCGCAAGATAGCGATAATAGTCACATTTCCTGCAAAATTCAAACAAATCTTTAGAAACACAACTTTTTAAGCTTTTGAGTTTAAAACATGAAGCAAAGAGCATTATTGGCTTACATATTGTTAAAGAAGATAGTTGATTTACCCTCCAAAGCCGATGGAACCAGATGCTCGTCTAACATAGACATTATATCAATGCATATCTTTGAAAGCTCTTGCTCAACCTTCTCCATATAATCTTTGATCCTTTTTACATTCACATCGTTCCTTTCACCGCTTCTTTTTGTTCGATCGACGAGAATATCCTCCATGAGGAAGCTGCTTGATTATCGCTTTATCCTCTTTCGGAGATGAGTTATTCGTCTTCCGGCGGACTAAATCCGGCCAGTCTCTTAAATCCTTAAATTAACCTAATATTCAGTAACTTAAGGAGAAATTGCAGTGAAGAAAACTTGAAAATGCATCTACCTTGAACGAAGGGGCTCGAAAGGGAGAGAAAGCTTCAGAAAATTGAAAGAGGAGCCATTGGGACTCGCGGAGACGAATCTAGCTGTAAACCTGAGAGAAGAAGCCGATGTGGAGACGCAAGCATGAGTCATTCCTTCTTAGCGAAGAGAAATCTCTCTGCACAAACAATCAATGCCATCGTCTTCGATGCATAATCCCTAGATTGCGATGAGCTTGATGTGGGAAGCCCAGTCAAATCGAAATATTAGCCGGAGGCCATGACCTCTCGCGATTTGGTTGATTTATGTTTTTTTGGGGTTTCTGGATTTTGGAGTCAATCGATTATTTATGTACAAGTTTTCATTAGAAAGATATAGATGATTAAATTGCGGAAGAGACGCTTTGGGAAAAGTTTATTTGACTGAGAGTGAATCGACGAGAGAAGTTTTTTTTCTTTTTTTCTTTTCCATTTTTTTGTGCTGATGTGTCATGGAGAGGGGTGCTGAGGCATCAACACCTTGTGAGACTCAATTGAGTCTTTATATAATAGATTGTTGTGTTGATTTACTTCACTTAACTTAAATTTATTGTTATTAAAATTTTATTTTTGTTTCCTAACAATTTAATAGGAAAACTTTTTGAATGATCTATTTATCCATTAAATTAGTATCAAACCAGGAAGGATATTTCCTCCCTACCAATAAATTTTATTCGTTCGCGTGTAAATTTTGTATGAAGTTTTTTGGCCAATTCTAACTTGTTCAATGACTGTGTCCTCAGCAGATTCTTTTTGGTTTGATCCCAAGTGTGACCCGATAGTTTTTGCACTATTGGGACTTGGGAGCTTTTGGAATACGACTTCATATATGATCACGCACAGCACAGAATTTTAATCAACGTGTAAATTGCCAAGGATAATACTGCATTCATCAGGAATGTGAGATTTGTGCACATATCTAAGTAAAAGAGGTTTTTGATATAATTCAAATTATATAACCAAAAAAAGATATATGTGCCCTTTTTCTTAGAGCAGTTTCATAGGTGGGTTGTTAAAACATCTCTACTCAGGATATGTAATCAAAATAGAAGAGAGAAAAGGAAGAGAATATCTCATTTGAGATATTTTAAGAGACTTTGAGATATTCCTTTAGTTTTTACACTTGCTTCCTTTTAATTAGTTGAATTTTTATTTAGAACTTAAAATCAAATTATATCAAAAATATTATTCAGATGTTTATAAGAGATTCTTCAGAGTATCTAATTGATAGAGGTGCTCTTAGACTATGTGCAATTGTTTTTTTTTTAACACCTTCTTTTTTACTTTTTAACATTTCACATCATCTTCTTTTTATCTCACCTAATTATTCAACACTCATTCAATTTTTATCATCTATAATAGTTTTATTTAATAAAATTCAACATCCTATCCCACCATTTTTATTTTATGTTTTTATGATTATATTTTAATAACAATTATCGATTGAATTAAATTAAATAAACTAAATAAAATTTTAATAAACTTAACACAAAAATTTCATATTTTATAATCTTAATTTTATTTTTTTTTGCAAATCAGATAAACTTATTTTAAAATTATTATTTCTGCAAATCAGATAAACTTAAAATAAAAAGTTCGTATGTTATAATCTTAAAACAAAATATACTTTTGAATCATGCAACTCAAATGTAGCATGTAAATGATTTTGGCATGAAGAAGGGTTTATAAGTTGATTTATAAATTTCAGTAAACGATTTATAATTGCAACAAAATGCCTTATAAACTGTAACAAAAGTTTTTTTTTAAGTTAATAGGAAAACTATAGTAAATGGTTTTTTATGTATCTAAATCAAATGAAACAAGTCTCTATTATTAGAAGAAAAAAATAATAAAATTTGATATAAGAAACTTATATAAAATAATTAATTTATTATAAAATAATTAATCTCAAATAGTTAGGATGAAAGAAAAATTATCAGAAATCTTATCAATTAACTAAAACGCAACAATGTCTCAATTTAACATGTTGTAATCTTACAATTCTATTTTTGCCACATTATTCAACACTTTCTTTCAACTACCTCATTAAATTATATTTAACTGTTGAAAAACAGTTTCAACAGCCTCGTTGCTTAATACAATCATTTCTCACGTTCTACATGAACATAATTAAGAAAATATTCCACTAATTATCGATACTTCAGATCACATTTCTCCTGTGTTCTCGGAGGATTGTAAAATAAGATTGCTAGAATGTAAAATCTTGTCTATTTGTTACATATTAATCAAGTTTATTGGTGTTTTTTATTGGTTCGATTATATATTATCCTTTTTTTTTATGAGATCTTTATTTATAATATATATAGGCCAACCTAATGTGGTGCGTGTAATTTGCTCATAAAGGTAATATGTTATGCTCAAAAATTGCTTGTAATTTCCATATACTTGTTTTATTTTTTTCTTGAAACTCAAATTATAAATGCTATAGATTCATCTGTATTCATGATTTATGGTTATGTAACTGTTCGGAAACAAATTTTAAGATAATGATATATAATCATTTGGATTTGTGGAGTTGTGTATCCAGGTTTCGTTCTTTGAAAGAGAGTTCTGGGGTAGAAATCTAGCGGATCCTGTATACACGGACAAACAAGTAAATCGGGTCTCCGAGTGGACTGAAAAGAGTTTCCCTCCCGAAGGTTCTCCGACGCTCAAGTCAATGCATGCCTATTAGGAACAAGTACTCAGAAAAGTAGGTTTTGAGGTGGTCAAGGAGTGGATATTCGCTTTGGCTAGATCCGTACTCCTCAGGGTCTAGTAAAGACGAAGATAGAGTTTCTGGAGAAACGGTGAACAAGGCTTACCTCGACCTTGCCTTGTATCTCGGAGGAGTATGGTCTAACCGAAGCGAAGCTGAGCTTCCAGAGAAACAGTGTACAAGGCTTACCCCGACCTTGCCTCGTATCCCTGAGGAGTACGGGTCTAAGCGAGCGAATATGAGTTTCCGGTGAAAAGGTGAACAAGGCTCAGCCTGACTTTGCCTCGTATCTCGGAGGAGTACAGGTTTAGCCGAAGCGAAGCTGAGTTTCCAGACAAACAATGAATTTCTGGAGAAATGGTTAGGTTCCCTCGAGAACAGTTAGATTGGGTCCTACCCCGGCTGGGGCATGCATCCCGGAAGAGTACATGCTTGCCCGGAATAGGAGGATGTTAGGTTCCCTGGAGAACTGTTGGTCGCCTTCAGATGAGCATCTCCCCGGAGAAATTTCACTCCTTATTTCGTGAGGCACTAGACAAGTAGCCGCATTCTTTCCCCATTGGAACTATGAGGAAGTTATAGCCTTATGTGACCATGGAGAACAACATAAGGCAACAACATGGTTTTTGGACACCTACCCAAGAGCCATTTGATGGCACCTTGAGGGGATGGCTGGAGGATCCCCGTGTGCAGGTTGCTAACACGAAGGGGAGCCATTACTTTTATGCAGCATGTGCAAACCCACGAGTGGCAAAGCATGGTGCTTCCCAAAGGCGTTACCCCGACTCCCTAACTGCATGGACAGTCTTCGCGTTGTGCTTACGCGGAAATTTTTATGGTTTTAGAATCGTGGTAGGAAGGGATTTGATTTGAGAAGAGACCGGAGTCTTAATTCCTGGAGGAATTATACCAAGAAAGGATCACATCAAAGAATTGTGCGATCCCCAGAAGGAGCTGGCAAGCGGATCCGGAGGTCTGCAGGACTGGAGTCCAGATTTTTTTGGAGGAATGGTGCCCCAGAAGGCTAATGCGTCTCCGGAAGGAGCACATCATAGAATTGTGCGGTTCCCAGAAGGAGCTAACAAAAGGACCTAGAGGTCCGCGGTACTGGAGTCCATAATTACCGGAAGAATGGTGTAACGCCCCTGGTCCAGCCTAAGGTCAGACCTGAGACGATCAGCCGCACAACAATAAAAAAAGAACATGCACATCCAACCATCCAACCCAAACCAGACCAAAGATGCTACAATGTGTACCCAAACGCCCAGTCCGAGGTTTCCACAAAAAATCCAGAGACCCTAGACCAAACATTCGAGCACACTTACCTATTAAACATGACTCAAGGCTTTTCAACCCGAGGCATATCTAATAGTTAGTTCGTCCCGGACAAGGACTAGTACCACATGAAAGCTCAAGTATTTTTTTACAAACATATCTTATTCATATAATACTTAAATTCCAAGTGTAACCACAAAATATATATATATATATATATATTATATATATATATATATATTCGGCCGGGAGCTCAGCACCCAAAACCTTATTATACATAGTAAACACATACTTGTTCTTATAAAAGTGACACACGCCTACAAGCTAGTAACCGTGTATGGTGATGGGATTGGGCCGCTGGTTGTTCAACTCTCTCGGCTTGCAATCAATGGATGGGCTATGGAAGGAAGTGGATCAAGATGGGAACCAAACAAAGAGCCGTACAACTCGATTTGTAAGATCTAAGTTGTTAGATGAATAGAATGATGGATCAATAGTCGCCACAAGGCTTTATGGTGATAAACCTTGATAAGACAAAGAACTCTTCAAGCAATGAATCGCACAAAGCTTTTAGAGTACAAGAGATTGGTACTTAGCCAAGAAATTAGTTCTTTATTGATATGAGGTAAATGATACACGGATGTGAGGGGACTTTATAAATAGTCCAAACAGCTTTGCCCTTCTTGGGGACTTGAAGCAAATACAAAACCTTAAGGTTAAACAAGCTCGGCTAACAATGCCTTAAACGAAATGTAAATCAAAAGTGGCTAACATGCCTTATACTAATGTTTTAAATGAAATAAAAAGCTGAACCAAAACAACCAAAGAAAGAGTTTTATTAGTTGAATAAACCATATTGAAATAAGAACTCGGACTTACCTCGGTTTAGGTGGTTTAATAGCATCTTCACTTAAGTAGCGTAATGCTAAATAAGGAAACCCCTTTGCTAGCATGAATCATTGGCCATCCGTGTGTATAAGCTATGCTTTTGATGTGAGGACCGTTGATGATGTTTGAACCGTCTTCTTGCTCGTTGGGAAGGTTTTCCTTGTTTCGGGAGTCTTCTCGCT